AGGAAGGTACTGAGGGCATCATTTTTTCACATTAAAAACATTAAAAAATACACGCGTTTTAACATGGCGGGGAGACTATAGTCCCCCTATTTTAAAAAATTAATTTTGTAAACATCATAGTTTTATTCGTGGTTTTGTGATGTTAGGTGAGCAATCTATTGTGTTTTTGAAGTTTTTATAAAGAAAACTATTCAAAATAAATCATTTTTACTTATTTATAACGAAAACAAAAAAGTCTTATGTTTTAGGAATTTTTCAGGAAAAAATTCATCAACTTTAGAAGCGTTTATTACAAACTGTAAACAAGTCTCTTGCTATCTAAGCTTTGATTCGTTTTCTTGTATGTGTCTTTTAACTGTCTCAACCAATAAATGTTTAGTCACTACCTCCGGGCCATAAATATTTCGGGAAAGACCGTCCCCTACCATTGTAAAGCAATTAGCGGTAGATAGGGAGTATGTGGATCGAGAAATCTAAGCTCCGATTAGCTTTCCTTTGAGTGGGTTGACTTAGTTTAAGCCAATAAGTGTATTTTCACCAACTCCGGGCCAAAAATATTTCGGCAAACACATTTCCCTAATATTCTACAGCAGTTAATGGTAAAAAGGAAGATTATTGGCTGATAACATCGATTCTAAACTTTTTCTGAACTGTAATTGGTTAATTTCTTTGTTTGTTATTAGATCAACGAATAATCCTGCAGAGAAACAGTACAGAGAAAATTGCCGCTAAATGCCACGCCTCTTTGGGCTACCGTCTTTGAATTATGTAAGCAATCGCTATGAGTTCACTTGTTTTGATTGTATTTTGACTTTAAATTTGCTAAAGAAAAGTATTTTGATAGTATTTAAAGGAATAAACATGTTTTCAAAACCGCGTAACGATAAATAATCTCGGGAAACTCTATTTTCCTACAGTAAGTCTATGGATGACGTTTTTCACGTCTATTGGCTTTCAAGTTTTGTTTATACGCTCTAATTGGTCGTTGCAATTATGACTGAATCTATATCAAGCAATGAGCGTTTATCCATAGCCGTCAGTTCTGGATTTACAGGCAAAAGAAGTAATGGCTTTATAAGTCACGTGATCTTTTGTCAGAAAGTAAACAAACTTTGATAAAGGTTATTTTCATCATTTCTAGCTGTAATTTCACTAGGTTTTATGTTATATAATTTTTACAGAAATAAATTCCAGTCGTACATTCAGAAATTAATGAAAAATATGTACATTTTGGCCCTGTGGACTCTCTTCCTGGTAACCCAACTCTCTTTCTTTTGGCGGTTTTCTCTCTCTTTCAGCAACGTCTCGTGTATTATCAATGTTTTTATCCTCTATGAATGAATTGAACTGAAGTAAATATCCGTTTTTAGTTCTCGTCATTTTCATGCTATTCTAAACACACTAATTCAATCTGAACCGAATAAAACACTAATTACTCGATTTACTATTCTGCCCGTTGCAGTAACTACACATAAGTAGGTCGTTGGTAAGCAACGGGTCACGTGTTACCGAATGTTGATTTTTCTAAAACTAAACGCACATTTCTCGAAATTTTGCACACATTTCGATTATTATTATTCCAGGTCCTTCTTATGTTATTGGACTTATACCATTCGTTACATTAATTTTTTGTAAACTGTCGTAACGTTGTAAAAAAACATATTTTTTATATATGTATGAAATGTCTCTGAATTATGAAAATCTTTTATAATTATCCTTTTTCTTCCCGAAATCCCAAGGTTTTGGTCAATGTTACCTCTAAATTTTGTTTTTTTTTGTTTTTTTTTTTTTGTAGATGAGCGGAACGTATACTTCTCTGAGCAGAAAATTTTTCTGAGCATATATATATAAAATCTTATTTTTTCGTATAAAAAATAAAATAATTTATTGTAGAGATTAAAATTTATTTTAAAACATACTTTTATACGAAATATTATCTTTTGTCAATGATTTATTGTATATAATCGAAATATACGCAGCAATAATCATGTTGCAGACAGTGAGAAATAAGTAAATAACAATTCAAATCGGTGTGCACGCCGGATTTGGGCCGCGGGGTCGCCGAACATCCTCGTTTGGGTCGCCGTTTCCCTCCGGAGTCGGGTTAAGCCCTCTCCCGGATGAGGAACCCGTAAATTTCACCTAATGTGTATTTTTCTGTTTCGGAGATGACGCAGCTGTCCCAGCCGCCGTCCCCTCCACGGGAGTGTCAGCAAGTCACTCTTTGAACTCTATGTAAGGTGACCGTCCAAAGTTACTCCGGCGGTCGTCGATCCGTCTCTCGTTCTTCCGATTGACGATCGTGGATCTGTCAAATAGGTCTGGAATGCGACAATTAAATTGCCTCGCACCCCGTTCCTTGGTCACACAGGTCCTATTTACGTAATAAGTCACCGGTATATTTATTGATTTTAGCTCGACCGCCGGTTCCCGTCCGGTGGGGTGTGTTGTCTCGGCCTCACAAAAAAATGATATATGTCTACAAGTAAATAATTGTTGCTTTAATGTTCAGTGTAGTATACAAAGATAAATCAACCGTTTGTTTTGATATTTATATGAATAACTGTTTTCGTTATAAGCTTTGATTTTAAAAAATTTCGACCATATTTTTGCGCACTCACTTGCAGTAACAAGTATTCGAATCAACATATCTGTACTCAGTATATGTTTATAGTCAAAGTTATGGTATCATGATATTCGGAAGTGTATAGCGAATTCAGAAAACTAAATCGTCACACTACGTACAGTACATGGTCTTTAAATTTTCTATTTTTTGGTATTAAAATTAGCATTAAATTTTTCTCTCCGTATTTCCCTTCAATTAGGGGGGGATGCACAACCTTTTGTGAAGAAGGGCCAAATTAGGGTTAAGTTTACTGACTGGGGGCCGGACCTCCAAGCGATTAATGAGATGGCTGAGATTGGATGCTGGCAGCAATCTTCTTGATGTCTGGTGTAATGGCAGATGTTGAAACAACCAGATTTTCCAAATTCTCTTTGGTTAACCTGTTCCGTGTTTTGCACTTGTTTAAATTCATAAGCGAAAACACTTGTTCGCATACATAGGTACTGCCAAACATGCTTGCACAAAATCGAGCATTGTCTTTCAGTTTTGGAAATGATTTATCTGGCAGTTCTTTGTAGAATGTGAGGAGATTAGAATTTTTGAACTGTGATTTCAATTCATCACTGCACTGGATGTCTATCAACTCAAGTTGGACATCTGGAGGGGCATCTTCCACTTTCACATCAAATGNGCATTTTGTACTTTTTATTAATATTTCATGTAAACACTTTTGATGTAATATTATTTATATAACAGAATAGTAAATTAATAGGAAGGGTGGCTCCGAGAACGAAGGTTTTTTTTCCTACGTATATAAATAATAGCGTTCTCTTATAAAAATGCAGTGTTATGTAGGAAAGCCACTTTTACAGATGCAACATCCGTTTGTGATAGCTGTTCACATTTCCGCGCTACATTCAAGCTGTTTTTTGATTTTGATCAGAAAAATTTTACAGTTTATCATCGTTTAAGTTTTTGTTCATTGAAAATATAAATTATAATTTTAAATTGGCAATGTATGTATATTAATGCTATAATATAATAATGTATAATGTATTTAAATTGCAATATTTTAATTAATAAAAGTTCAAATTTTCTAGCAAAATATTTAGCGTAGCTTTCTTCACAAATTAGTCATGGACACCTGGCTTTTAGACAAAAGGAACGTCTTTTGTGTAGGGGCTGCTAATTAATTTATTACCTTGTTTACAAATTTCTGTCCTTCCCTGGAAAATCCGGGGTGGTCCAAGGTCCTTCCTCACAACCCACACTTTACTTTTAGTTCGTTGTCAGTTCGAACAGTGTCTGAACGTAGAGTGTCTAAGCGCATCTTCAATCAACAAATTGTAAGTATTTTTTTAAAAAGTAAAGTATTTACAAATTTGATGAAATTTGTAATTAATTTACATTTTACAGTGTTTTCTTCTACTTGGATTTAACTTTTTAATATTTCCAGAACTTTATCGACGATTGTACTGTACCTTGATTTTGTTTATCGACTATCACAGTTTACGTTCTTACACTATTTGAAGAGCATCTGCATTCAACAGTTTGTAAGTACTTTTCATTATAGATTTATTCTAAACATAGCCATAACTAGGGCAAAGTGAATGTGCCCCCGCCATAAGCGCCGATTTAATAAAGGCACCAACGAGAAGGTTTCGGAATATGTATTCGAAATTAATAATGAAAAAAGTTTTTATATTTATGTTATTAGTTTATAAAATACTGTATACTTTAGCATCCCCAGTTTAAACATAAATATATACAGAGTATATAAAAATTTCTATATTTCCGTGTATTGGTTATACTGTATAGTAGAAACAAACCCATGCGCTTTTTTTTTTTACTTACTTTTTAGAATTTGTAAGTAGTAATAGTATTAAATGTAAGTTGAATTGTAATTGCCTTAGTTTTAAGCGGAATTGTGAATAAATTTTGGTGGGAAGTTACAGCCAGAGCGTGGAAATACTTTGGTTTTCTGTAACGGGATGTAGTACGACCTCCGTCCTCTCATTTCGATCAATAAAATCGCGATTTGAATGTTATTTGCGTTATCTTATTACGTGTTATCCATCCTTTTACAATAAATTGTTTTCGAAGAAAGGAAACACGATGTGCTAATATCAAAAAGGGAAATAATTAGAGAATCCAGACATTCTTTACTTCCATTTTTTGATTACATATATATTCAGCTAATTTTATCAAATAAGTTTATGATAATTCTATTTATTCCGGATAATATTATCTAATTTTTAGCGCGTAAGATAAAAATAAAACGGGTTTTTAGACGATTTTTCTTATTTGTAGAACGTCTGATAGCGAATCGGAATATATGGCAATCTCTGAAAGCGGCTCGGAGAGCTATATCCCGAGCATAGACGATTCCAGTAGTTCAGCTGAATCTGGAAGTGATGCCGCTCGCACCTGGTGTGAAGCTGACGCCAGTAGCTTTCCGACGCCTCCTCCACGGTTTCCGTTTACTGAAACTTTTGGATCTCGGTTTTCTACAAATCAAGTAATAGAACCGTTAGACTATTTTAAACTGTTTTTCGATGAAGAATTAGTAAATTGGATAACTTCCGAAACAAACAGATACGCTATGACGAAGCCACAGACATCCAGGAGCCAGTGGAACCCTGTTTCCATAGAGGAAATGTTTGTGTTTTTTAGTGTAATAATCCTTCAAGGTATTATTCATAAACCGGATGAGAGTATGTATTGGACCACGAACGAAACACTTTTCACTCAAAGTTTTCGAAGAATAATGTCTAGAAATCGTTTTTTGGCAAATAAAACAAAATTTGCATTTTACAGATAATCAAAATTATAATCCGCGAACTTATCCAAACCCTAAACTTAATAAAATTTGGCCAATAGTTCAAAATTTTCGCGTCTTTATGTCCCAGAAAGGGATATAGTGGTGGATAAGAGTTTGATGCTATTCAAAGGACGTCTTTCGTGGAGACAATACATGCCTCTCAAACGGTCTCGTTTCGGTGTGAAATTCTACATGTTTTGCGAGTCCTCATCTGGATATTTGTACAATTTTATAATTTATACCGGAAAAAACACCGTTTTAAATGAAAAATATAAAGATATGCCTATTACTTCAAAAATTGTATTATCATTAGCGGACTCGTTGTTAGGCAAGGGATATTGTCTAACAACAGATAATTTTTATTCTTCCCCACATTTATCTGATTATCTGGTTACCGTCCAAACAGATTTCTTTGGAACTGTGCGGACGACCAGACAACAGGTCCCGGCTGAGGTTAAAAATAAAAAATTGAAAAAGGGAGAAACAGTGGCGATGCAGAGAGGTAAAGTGATGATTATGAAGTGGCAAGACAAAAAAGCCGTCACTTTACTCTCTACTGTCCACAACCCATCAATGGTGAGGAAAGAAACTCATGCCGGTAAATTAGTTATAAAGCCACAGGTTGTTGTCGACTATAACGACACAATGGGAGGTGTTGACCTTTTAGATCAGCATCTTCGAGATTATCCAGTGGCGAGAAAAAGAGGGAAGAAATTTTACAAAAAGGTATTTTTCCATTTATTAGATATTTCTGTTTATAATTCTTTTGTTTTGTATAAAAAAAATGGTGGAACTTTGGATCATTTAGAATTTAGGATTAATGTCATAGAAACAATTATTCATAAATATCACACCGAAACGAGGGATACCACACACGGTCAGCCGAGAACTTCAGGTCCGAGAACTCCAGGTCCACTTAGACTTACGGAAAGACATTNCGCAATCAATAACCCAGGATCAAAACTCAATATTGCAATCGGCTTATCACCCCTGGTATTCTCAAATTTTAAAAATTCCTTCTGATTCCAGATTTATTATAACTGATATAAATATGAATATTAAACGATTATTATTGCAACTTCGTCTAAATAAATATTCCTTGTTGGTTAATAATACATATATAAATTCTTCTAAACAAAAGTGCTATTGGTGTAAATCGGAAAACTTTGCTATTCTTCATCTGTTGAAAGACTGCACAGCTATTAAAAAATATCGTCATGAAATACCAAATAACAGAAATACTTGGCATAAACCATGATTTAAATTATATGTTAAGAATTGGAGATATATCAAAAAATGATATGTATAAACTACATAACTTTTTCACCCAGATTACTAATATATTTGATAATGATGTTACGAATGAATATTTAGCTAATGATATGCAACTAAAACATGTTTATGTAAATTTTTTCTATGTTAAATTATTTGTTTACAAAAAAATAACATAAGATGTACGGCTTTTTTATGTATACCCTCCTGTAACAAGGATTTTTTTCCTTAGTACAATAAAACTTTGATTGATTGATTGATTATTTAAAATGTTTTTATATCAATAAATTTATTTTCATTTTATATTTTGTCATGTTTTCGTTTTTAAATTATATTTAAAGCTAACCGACGAATGGAATCTTTCCTGCACGACGGAGACTCATGCAGGAAAGCCACCATTGCAGGTTGCCCCTGTAATGTTGGATATCCAGAGGGAAAGGTGCCATTCAGGAACCAATTTTGCGAAATTAAAAAATCGAAAAAAACCACTTTTTCCAATTCAAATAAAGAATATTTTTAAATAATAATAATGGGTGGGATTACAAAAAGGTATTTTTTTATTGAAAGGGAATGAAAGGGTTAATGTCATTTATTTTTTACTTTTAATTTAATAAAATCTAACTTATATATATATATATATTATGTAACGAATATGCGTGTTTACACGACCATTCAGTTGTAAATCTCTTTAAAAAATTGAAGTACAGTACTTCTAGTTATTGCAGTACTTTTATCATACATATAACATTGTTATATAATTGTTCATTTAATAGGGTAAAAATCGGTTATACAGTCTACTGTTACTGTATTAGTGTAATTAACATATAAATGGAATCAAATGTAAATCATCGATAAAGTAAAATTTTTAAAAACTGACCGCCCCTTTTAGCAGAGACACTTGACCTAATGTGGCCAGAATTACAAGGAGTTGGCCAATGGTCATGTTTTTTAATTTGTTGAATATTGTGGCGATTAACGCCTATTGCATTTATAAATATCACAAATTTGCTACTGGTGATAATTGCAAACGCAGTGAATTTCTTGAAAATCTATGTTGGAAATTAATCAAATTAATCAAATTGAACGTAGAAGTAGCATTGAAAGTTTACCAAATTATATAAAAAATAGAGCAAATAAGCTGCTTCAAAAACAGACAAACGTCGATATGGCCCCTGAGTCACAACCATCTACCAGTAAGGGTCGATGTCACATCTGTCCTAGAAAAATTGATCGAAAAACCAGACGATGGTGTAATAATTGCAAAAATGGGTATGTCCTGACCATATGTTTGTTGTGTGTAACTCATCTTACGAATATTAAGTTATGGCAACGCAACACTTGGGCGATCTACCTGGGGGATGCCTTCCGGGAGGTATTTTTAAAAGAAACTGGTCCCTATTTAGGCGTTACAGACGTGGAGAAAACCTGGAAAACTCCACGTGGCCAGCCCGTCCGAGCGAGGCTCCCAGTTTCGGTCGTGGCGAACCCATGACCGAACGCCCAGTGTTCAGGGTACGAAGACCGCTTGGCCACTGGTAGGCCAAGGCATTTTTGTAATTCCTTTTGTCAATAATATTAGTTCTGTTAAGAAAAATTTATGCTTATAACTAAAAGTCCATCATGACAACGAATTACAATTGAACAAGAAAATATTGAAAGTTATTACTGTGCTCTTAATATATCCTTTTGTTACCAAACAACAAATTCACTTTTCCGTTGTAACCTATCCGTATCCTACACAAAAGTATTTTCCCCAGACGTACGTTTGGAGAAGCAACTTATATGGCGGATGCAGATTTGACTAAAACCTGTAAAATGCCGTATAATTTGATATAAATATAAGGAATTTTACAACGTAATAATAAATTTCCGTCTATATAGTATAAAAAGAATTATAATTGAAATAAATTTATGATTCTTCTTAACTTATACTGTATTTAGCAGTTACTTTTCCTTACTATACTAAGAAATGGTAGGCAGAAATGATGATTAATATGCAATTTATATATAGTAAAGAATGAGTAAATTCTCTTCTCAGACCATCCTCATTTTATAACAGTAAATGTGAGGGTCGTAAAAGCACGTCGAAATTACGACTGATTACAAACTTTTACGTCGGAGAGTTTCGAAGATAGAATCGGGTCAAGAGGGTGTGTTAATGACAGAACCCAGATGGGACGAAAACTTTTCGAATTGTAAAACAAACGCGACACGATGATAAACAACAGGGGGGAATGTTGACACAGAGAAAGAGCTATGTCGAGATGCTCGCGAACAGGTGTCGGGTCGAAGCAAGCGAAAAAAGGGGGGTCTAAGGGTGCGACTATGCAGACGCGAGCGAGCGAGAATATGTGGCGAGAAGAGGCGCGACGCGATAAATATCAAAACCTGTCAGATATGTGCGAGAACCAGAAATTCGCTCTCGCTAGCGTTATTTCTCGCTTCTCGTTTATGCATAGTTTTCTTTTGCGAAAACTAAATCGCTCGCAACCTCTCGCTCGCTCTGAATTCGCGTCTGCATAGTCGCACCATAAGAACAAAAGGGACATCTGTTAAGTCCGAACGCGGTAGGAAATAAATGGCCACAAGAACATCTGGTGGACCGTTTAAGTTCATAGATGTTCGAGAGAAAAATACGAGCGCGAATATCAAAAGCCCCGTCATCACCTCTCGACCTTTTCCCGACCCGGATCGGTCTCAAGTTTCGCCTAGAAACAAAAGAATGACCAATCGGGGTAAGGGAGAGGGCGAAAGGGACCAATCAAAAGGGTGAGATTCGGGGAAATCTTACCTCCGAATCTCAAGGACAAAGAGATTCTCAGCCGATTCTCTTCGAGGAGGAATTCTCAGCCAATCCTCGGCGGTTCCACTCGGACCAGGTTCTCCACCAGTGACCAAAATCTACGTGCATTCGCAACATCACCGGACAGAGGCCCCTGTGCAACGGACACTCTCCTGTCAAGCCCAGGACACCAGTCTGCGCCCTTTCGTCGACATCAAGGAGCTCCCACCAAAGCCGATCTAGATCGCATTGTTATTGTCATTATGTAAGTTAACCTCATGTCAAAATAAACGGTTTTCGTGTAAGACACTTGTCATATTTGTCTCCTACCGCCATCACCCACATACGGTTTGACCCTAGGTTTTCCTGACGCGTAATTAACGTCTTGCCCCCTAAAGTCGGTGTCCTTACATAAATAAGAAATCGATTTTGAATTTAAAATGTTAGTTTTATTTTTTAAAGTGCGTTATAAGAATTGGATCATGGTATGCTGGCAAATTGAACTGCGATACCCTTTAACATTATATTTAATTATATATGTTTTACAAACAAGAAAAATAAATAAATAAATAAATATATATATATATATATATAATTTTCCTGGATNAAGGAAACAGTTCCATCACAGGTTTCTGACTTCACATAAGCGAATTTTCTTATTTTGACTTTTTTTTTCATATTTTTCGTTTATGTTTAGAAAGTTCACATGATGAACACTTGGAGTCTTGCGCGACTGCCCATATTGCTTGTGCCTTCAGCCGGTTCTGACAGTAAATTGCGTGAAATATTTTGCTATGCTACCAATCTTTGAGTTGAAGTACAAGGCTATGGAAAAATGAAAAAGCTATCGATAATGCATTAACACTTGACTGCGACTCAGAGTCGCTGAAAATGCCAGTAGGCCTATTAGAATTCCTATGATCAAGAATAATCAATTACTAAGTTATTCCACACAAAAAAGAAACTAAAACTGCAAGCTCTGATTTAGTAATAACATTAAATAAGTAAAAAAAAACTTCAAGAAATTATTACTTATCTAACTGTACAAATGATAAATGAAGTCACACTACGCAAGTGACTATGCTAACTATTTACTCATTTGATATGCGAGTATAATATATGTTATACCTACACTAATAATTGTAAAAGGGAGAGTTGAATCAATAGAAATGATTCCCCACGCAGAAAATCTTGGTATTTCCTGAAAACATTTAACCGAGCTTCTATAAGCATATTTCTTTGCTAATTTATTTTTGCTCATAATTGATATCTTATACATATAGGAAGAAAACGTTCCTGCAACATCAGTTATGCGAGAAGCTGAATTGCAGACATTTATGTATAAGATAAATTGCAGAATACAAGAAGTAGTTAATTCCATTATCAACATTTCTTTTTTAGCAAGTAAAGTATCCCAAATATCGCAAAGCACCAAAAAAAGAGCACCACTGCTGTATATTGTCCAAAAAAGCAATATTTTAGAATAAGTATCTTCAAATGACTTCGCAATGTAATATAAATCCATATATATTGCAGAAATTCGATTTATTTCGATGGCATTATCAACGCCATTATTTATCATTGTTATATATAAACACTTGAACCCATTTTCAATTTCTACGCATATTACGATAAATAACATAAAAAATAAATACTGTATTATACGCATAAAAACAGTATAAAGTATTTCAGAAATGGAAAATACGACGTAAGAATTACTATCGGGAGCTGTGGTTTGAAAATTGCGAGATTTTACCCACTGCTCTGGCATTAAATCTTTGTTTCCCGAAGCAATAGCAAAAACACAAAAAGCAGTATTCGAAAGGCATAGAATCCAAATCAAGATAACTTTAAATAACAGAATATTTCTGTTGACTCCGCTTGATATTTTCAGATCTAAGGCCTGAAATAATTTGATTAAATTAGTATATATGGCCTTTCTCTTCGCAAAAAAATGATATAAAGACAG